TTTAAGGGTCCAAATTTTTTTTATTATGAAAAAGGGTAATTTTTAAAACTTTAAGATATTTTTAACATGAAAAATGCCCAAATATTTTCTTTAGTATGAAAAAGCCAATTTTTAATAATTTTTTAACATGAAAAATGCCCATTTTTTTTGTTTGAAAAATGGCCAATTTTTAAGATTTGTACAAGGACTCCAAATTAATTGAGCCGGCCCTGGTGACGAAAGAAGCGAAATCTGGAGGAATTTTGTTCAGCGTTTGCCCACCGAGTCCGAAAAGTCGCGACTACATCTTGAATAGCCTGATCAAGGCATTATCCAAAGACTCGTTCCTCTCCTACAAATACGGAACGATTAAACCCGTTTAGACCTATTTATATTTCTTAATTATTTTTATTAAAAATATTTAATATCTTGATAACTAAAATAAAATAAGATAAGATTAAATACAATAATAATTAGTTTTCACTTAAACCATATATTTATTTAAATTAGAAGAATATAAAACAGCGTTTTCCCGCCAACTCGCAAAATTGTGTGATTGAATCCGCGGAGGTTCGATTCAAAGCCAGTGGAACTAAATCAACCAATAAAGACGATGATTTAGAGGGGAAGACTCAGCCTTAAGATTTTTGATTCCTTATCCTCTTTATGATCTGTCTCTATGGTTTGCTTTTGCTAATATGATTTGTTCTTGTAAATATCTTTCTAATATGAGTCGTTGATTGGTTTTGCATTATGTGGTTAGTATCATAATTATCATTGTGGTTTATGTCTCTATGAATGTTAGAACTATCTATGTTTAGTTTACCTTATAGTTTATGTCTCTATGAATGTTAGAACTATCTATGAAAAAAGCCAATTTTTAATAATTTTTTAACATGAAAAATGCCCATTTTTTTTGTTTGAAAAATGGCCAATTTTTAAGATTTGTACAAGGACTCCAAATTAATTGAGCCGGCCCTGGTGACGAAAGAAGCGAAATCTGGAGGAATTTTGTTCAGCGTTTGGCCACCGAGTCAGAAAAGTCGCGACTCCATCTTGAATAGCCTGATCAAGGTATTATCCAAAGACTCGTTCCTCTCCTACAAATACGGAACGATCAAACCCGTTTAGACCTATTTATATTTCTTAATTATTTTTATTAAAAATATTTATTATCTTGATAACTAAAATAAAATAGGATAATATTAAATACAATAATAATTAGTTTTCACTTAAACCATATATTTATTTAAATTAGAAAAATATAAAACAGCGTTTTCCCGCCAACTCGCAAAATTGTGTGATTGAATCCGCGGAGGTTCGATTCAAAGCCAGTGGAACTAAATCAACCAATAAAGACGATGATTTAGAGGGGAAGACTCAGCCTTAAGATTTTTGATTCCGTATCCTCTTTATGATCTGTCTCTATGGTTTGCTTTTGCTAATATGATTTGTTCTTGTAAATATCTTTCTAATATGAGTCGTTGATTGGTTTTGCATTATGTGGTTAGTATCATAATTATCATTGTGGTTTATGTCTCTATGAATGTTAGAACTATCTATTTATAGTTTACCTTATAGTTCATCCACCACCAGTAACTCTATGCACAGCTTACCATTTGGTTATGTAGCGTTGTGAAATTGAGTTTGGAATCCTTGTAAATTCTTTTTATTTTCAATGGTGACAGTGCTTGTCGTGTGTTTGGTTTTATGCAGCTTACTTTGGCTTATAGGATTACAAGTTAGTTACCAGTATGACTAGGCTGAAATTTTGTCGATTTTCTAGTGGTGACATGAACTTCTTGTGAGTCTGGAGTATGTAATATTATTTTCTTTCCTTTTTGAAATATGAATTACCTATTTTGGTTTACCTTATGTCATCAAAACATGGAAACATCATTGCCTACAAGTTTGCTAGTGTAGTTGGTTGGCACAATTGCCTGTTTTGTATTCCTTTCTACTGGATTAGCTAATGGCTAATTGACTATTAAACCAAGTTATGTAATGTTGCTGTACATGGAATTAGCGGATTATTCCTCATTTTGTTTCCTCCTTAGTTCTTCCTTCTATCTTGCCTGGTTTACCTTTGATATTGCTTCGATTTTCTTTCTATGCTCAGGTTTTTATGTGTCGACTTCATCGATCTCTGTATTCCATTTAATCTCTCTGATTTCACTGATTCTTTGGTCTTCTCTCTAGTCTTCTCTGTTTTCAGTTAAGAACAAAGTCTCTTGAGGCTGCAATTTCAATTCTTCCCTATTCCATTTCCATACAAGAATGTTTTTTTATACATTTGAGAATCCATATCTCCAATACTAATGATGCTCTTTGTGATTCAAGATCTTTCACTAGTTACAATTATATAGTAGCTACTTGGTGGATCTTTTAGCTTGATGGTATATGTGTCTAATGCTAAAAGAATTTGGACAAGCTTTCTGTTACGATTTGACAAAAGATGCAGCTCGAGTATATAATAATTGTACAACAATTTTGATGAAACCGTCACAGAAGGCCGTTGTTAAGTCATTGAATGTAATGATCTCTGGTTATGTTGGTTTTAAGTCTGTTGAAGTGTACGACCAAATGGTCAGTGTTGGGGAGAAGCCAGAAACTACCGTCACAAGCACCTGCTTGTTGGCATCTAGCTTCATTACAGATAGGCAAGCGGATTCAATCATTTTTCCATTAGCAAGAGCAGGTTCGAAACAGAGGAGTTGCTGTTGAGTGCGCTTCTTGACATGTACTCTAACTGCGGCAATGTAAATACAACACTAGAGGCTTATTGTTTCAGGAAACAATCAAGAAGCATGTTCCACAGTCAAGTCTTTCAAAGCTCAACCTATTATCATAAAAAGTCACTAGAGGCTTTTAACATCATCTACATAATCTAACCCTTGTTGATTGCACCACATTCATGCCACTTCTCGTGACTCAGGACTCCGATAACATGAATCCTTAAAGGACCTATCCATTGTAATCTGGAAATTCATTGGCATTTATATCCAACAAAGCCAGAGTTTTCCCACCTCTTGGACAAAACACTACTTTTAACATCTTGTGTTGGAAGCTGCCACAAGAGCATCTGACACATCAAAGTGTCAGGTAATTTGCTTATCATATCCTCGTGTCTTCGCACTACAGTTTTCGAGTTCATCTCATAATCGCTTCTCTTTCAAAAGGCTCTCCTCCATTGAATCCTTTCACAAAATTGAACTGAAGATTTCCACTGAAACAAGCTCAACTAGTTGGCTTATCTGCTTAAATTATGGACATCTAACATTCAATATGTCTATTTTAGATTAAAGCTCTTAATATAGCAGGTATGAGGTAAATACACTCCAGTTTAAGACTCGGATAAAAATAGAAGAAGCCAAGACTGTGTTTAGAAACTTGAGAAAATAGCATTCATACTGAAGGAAAACATACAATTCAATGGATTAAACTCATAATCTAAAGTGAGAATACATATTAGAACATAATAAAACCAAGTCAAAGAACCGGAATTTGGAACAACAAGACCTAAGTATAAGAGAAAATCATTGGATCTGCAAACTTAAGGTGCTTGATTCCATGGCGCAAACTGATCAAAGTGGACAAGTGGGGTTTGTGTCTGCATCTGAGGAGGAAACACCATGGGAAGATCAAAGTTACTTCTTAGACGAGATCCTTGAGCCCCAAGTAAAGCCGATTGGTCAAAGCTAGAAACAGAGTTAGGGAGTTGACAGAAGCTACCGTTGTCATGGTTATAGAGAAAGACTGAAAATTTGCTCTGATGTTGACTCAATGATGACGTCGATAGCTCTTGCTCTGTGTTTGACATCAATGGTGATTGTTGTTGATGATGATCCTCAATTAGCGAAGGAGAAGACAATGGATTCGTTGTGGAAGAAACCACACGGCTCTGACCTAACTCGATTTGGTTCTCGGGTTGGAGTAACTTAAGCTTATCTTGTAATACCCGTATACCACTTTCTAACGAATCCTTCATCTCTAAGACTTTCTCCGAGAGCTTATTGTCGTCGAGGATCTTCTTCCTTAGCAACAGAGAAAGGTTTGTGCTTTTCTTGCGTCTCTCTCTGTCGTTTAGTTTGGTAAATCTCTCAGCCATGTCTCGAACCTTGGATTGATCCTCCGGCCATGTCTTGATGAGTTCTCCGTCACGACCATAATATATGACACAGACTTCGATGTCGCACAGAGTTGAAAGCTCGAAGGCTTTCTTAAACATAGTCTCTTCTCTCATAGACAAGTTCGTGGTCTTTTTTGCAGTAGAAGAAGAGAGAGACGATTTCTTGAAACAAGTTTGGTTTCTCAGAGACAATTTAGTTTTCTTCTTCGTCGACATTGAAGAATCCATTGTTGTTTACACAAAGAAAAAATAAAGAAGCTTTAGTTTTTCTTATCAAAGAGAAAAAAAAAAACTCTGCGAATTGGGATACTAAGTGGTTCAGGGTTGATATATAGAATTGTAAAAATTTGATTTCCATATTTGATATTGATTTCACTAAACCAAGAGGGAAAGAAACTGAGCTCTGTGGGTTTCATTTCCTTTTTTTTTCTTAAGAGTATATTTGCTTCATTAATTGCTGATGATATTCTTTTATTAATCTAACCGTTGGGATTTTCAAGTAATGAATTTCCTTTTTTTGTTTGTTGTCTATGAGGGAAATCTTAATTAGATCCGATTTCCATTTGCTAATTAATATCAATATAACCGTTGTAGTAATAGAAAACACTCACACAAAGATTAATAACATAGATGTTAAACTCTCGGGGTTTGTGCAAGTCACCACCACTATGACGAGTCATTTTAGATTCTGAAAGCTCTCAAGAAGTCTAGGTAAGCATTTCCATGTAGGATAGACAAAACGTCACTTGTAGACATGTAAAATTGCAAAACTGCGGTAGCGGTTCTGTGTTCATGTTATGATAGAGGTACTAACTAGTCAACATAATGATCATAAGAATCTAAACAGTCATGAAAAGAACATTTTATATATATGAATCTGGTAAGACATATACCTCTGCAGACTGCAGTAAGCCAACGATATATAAAAAAAATACCAGATTAAAGTACCACTACATACACCTTTGGTTAAAGAACTTGTATTGCTTATGATTTTACTCTCTCTGTTAGATCATCTTTAAAATTCAGGTACTTGAGTATAGGGGCATCAATCAAAAACTCTGTGCCTTCATAATCAAAAACAAGAGCACCAGCTTCCATTTCATAAAACTCAACATTGAGACTGGTTAATGACTGAGAATTGCACTCCTAAAACCTTAACATTATCATTGAGACTTCTTGCAATGCTCATCAAATCTTCAAGAACCGGGCAAGACGAGATAAGCAACTGTATAGCTTCACCACTGCCATATATATTATTTTCTAAACGCATGAACCTGAGACAAGGTAAAGAAACTGACTCGAAATCACGCATCAAAACCTGATGGAGTCTTAAGTACACCAATGTCTAACATATATAAAGACTTAGGGGAATTAATCACCTCTAAAAACTAATGTTTCACATGACACTTAGCATCAAGGTGCTTAAGTTAACGCTTAACCACAGAATCTATCCACCGCGTGCCACAAGACTGGCCATCCTCATTCCTCCGGATACTTTACTTGAACTTTCACAAGCATAAATCCTTAGAGGAATCTAAAAACCTATCAACAAAACTCACTAAGGCATTGCAATCTGTGAATTCATTGGCGAATAGATCTAACCAGGGAATAAAAAAACCAGAGGTCTTACACCACTTGGACAAAACACTAGATTTAACAACATCTTTCGTCGGAAACTGCAACAAGAGCATCTGACATATCAAAGTGCCAGGTAACTTGCTTGTCCCTATCCTCTTTTCTTGCACTACAGTTTTCGAATTCATCGCATAATTGCTTCTCTTTTGGAAAGCTTTCCTCCATTTAATCCTCAATTACTAAATTAGTTGGCTTATCTGCATATATTATGGAATGGACATCTAACATTCAATGTCTATAGTATATTAAAACTATGACTATAGCAGGTTTTAAAACTCAAAGATAAGACTCAGACAAAAATAGAAGAAGCCAAGACTGTTTTTAGAAACTTGAAAAGAATAGCATTCATACTTAGGAAAACATGCATACAATTCAATGGATTTCTTACAAACTCTTAATCAGGTACGAGAAGAAACAGTTAAACACATAATCTAAAGTGAGAATACATATTAGAACATAATAAAACGTGGACCAAGTCAAAGAATCAGATCTTGGAACAACAAGACCTAATTATAAGAGAACATCATTGGATCTGTAAAAGATGGTGCTTGATTCCATGGCGCAAACTGATCAAAGTGGACAAGTGGGGTTTGTGTCTGCATCTGAGGAGGAAACACCATAGGAAGATGATCAAAGTTACTTCTTAGATCTGATCCTTGTGCCCCAAGTAAAGCCGATTGGTCAAAGCTAGAAACAGAGTCAGGGAGTTGACAGAAGCTACCATTGTCATGGTTATAGAGAAAGATTGAAAATTTGCTCTGATGTTGACTCAATGATGACATCGATAGGTCTTGCTCTGTGTTTGACACACCATTCACCAGTGATTCTGTCCATTGTTGTTGATGATGATCCTCAGGAGAAGACAATGGATTCGTTGTGGAAGAAACCACACGGCTCTGACCTAACTCGGTCTGGTTTTCGGGTTGGAGTAACAGAAGCTTATCTTGTAATACCCGTAGACCACTTTCTAACGAATCCTTCATCTCTAAAACTTTCTCCGAGAGCTTATCGTCGTCGAGGATCTTCTTCCTTAGCAACAGAGAAAGGTTTGTGCTTTTCTTGCGTCTCTCTCTATCGTTTAGTTTGGTAAATCTCTCAGCCATGTCTCGAACCTTAGATTTATCTTCAGGCCATGTCTTGATGAGTTCTCCGTCACGACCGTAATATATGACACAGACTTCAATGTCGCACAGAGTTGAAAGCTCGAAGGCTTTCTTAAACATTGTGTCTTCTCTCATAGACAAATTCGTGGTCTTTTTTGCAGTAGAAGAAGACAGAGATGATTTCTTGAAACGAGTTTGGTTTCTCAGAGACAGTTTGGTTTTCTTCTTCGTCGACATTGAAGAATCCATTGTTGTTTACACAGAGAAAAAAAGAAGCTTTAGTTTCGTATCAAAAATAAAATAATCTCTGAGAACGGTTCAGGGTTTATATAGAATTGTAAAATTTGATTTCCATATTTGATATTGATTTTTACTAAACCATGAGAGAAAAATTCAGCGGTGTTTTTTTTATTTATTTCCTTTTTTCCTAAGAGTATCTTTTCTTCATTAAATGATGATGATTTACTTTTATTAATCTAACCGTTGGAATTTTCAGTAATTGTAATAAAAATTATTTATTTGTTCTTAACATTATAGAGGAAATCTGAACTTAGATCCGATTTCCATTTTACTAATTTAACCGTTGTACGTAATTAACATTTTTTTATGTAAAAAAAACCCTATATTGCCTCCACTAGTTTCTATAAATAAATCCCAAATTTCACAATTCACACCATCGTCGTCATTCACTCTCTCTCTCTCACAGTATAAGCGACGAGACTCTTTAGTAATAATGGCACAAGCTTGGTTTCCACTTGAAGAACACTTTCTTCCTAGGAAACTTTCCAAGGAAAACCTCGACAGGTTCATACCAAATAGATCCGCCATGGATTTCGACTATGCTCCCTACGCTCTTACCGAAGGAAGAAAACCTAAAGTTGAGGTAACTTCAGCGTCAAGGAAAGCGTACATGAACCAATTGGCTGAGACTATGAATCAGAATCGAACCCGGATTCTCGCTTTCAGAAACAAACCTAAAGCTCTGCTTTCTAGTAATCACTCTGATTCTCCTCATGAACAATCTAAATCCGTAAAGCGTCGTAGATACATTCCTCAGAATAGTGAGAAAATCTTGGATGCACCTGGCATTGTGGATGACTTCTACCTTAACTTGTTGGACTGGGGTAGTTCTAATGTCTTAGCCCTAGCTTTGGGCCACTCTATTTACTTGCGGGATGCTTCTAGTGATTCTACATCTATGCTTGTGACTATTGATGAAGAGAAGGGACCTGTCACAAGTATTAACTGGATGCAAGATGGTTGTACTCTCGCAATTGGTCTTGACAACTCTGAAGTGCAGATTTGGGATTCTGCTTCGAATAGTCAACTGAGAACATTGAGAGGTGGTCACCAGACAAGAGTAGGATCATTAGCATGGAACAATCACATCCTAACAACTGGAGGAAGGGATGGAAAAATCATCAACAATGATGTGAGGATCAGATCATCAATTGTGGGAAGTTACTTGGGTCACACTGATGAGGTTTGTGGTCTTAAGTGGTCAGAATCTGGGAAACAATTAGCAAGTGGTGGTAACGACAAGGTAGTACACATATGGGATCGTTCTCTCGCATCCTCAAACTCAACTAGGAAATGGTTGCAGAGGTTTGAGGGACATACAGCTGCTACGAAAGCTCTTGCATGGTGTCCATTCCAAGCGAATTTGCTTGCAACTGGTGGTGGTGTAGGAGATAGGACTATTAAGTTCTGGAATACACACACTGGTGCTTGCTTGAATTCAGTAGAAACTGGCTCTCAAGTTTGTTCATTGTTATGGAGTAATAAGGAAAGAGAGTTGCTTAGTTCACATGGGTTTACACAGAACCAGCTTACACTTTGGAAGTATCCATCTATGTTGAAAATAGCTGAACTCAATGGTCATACATCAAGAGTTCTTTATATGGCACAGAGTCCGGATGGTTGTACTGTGGCTTCAGCAGCAGGAGACGAGACTCTTAGGCTTTGGAATGTTTTTGGAGTACCACCACCAAAGACCACCAAAAAAGCTGCTCCAAAAGCATATCTGCAGATATTTTCTCATGTGAATTGTATTCGTTGAACAGTGAAGGCTAACAAGGAGAAAACTCATTGATAGTTAACATAAAAAGAAGCAATGTACATTCATCTTTTTTCCTGATTCATTATTCATGAATTTTATTTAGTTAATACAAAACCAATTGTTTCTTGTGTAAATTGTTGAGTCAAGCTGAATAAAAATAAAAAGACAGTATAATAGCACTATCATTGGAACCGGTAAAGTCGGTTTACCTTGAACCGGTTACCATAAACCATAGTGTTTGATTTTCTGAATTTGTTGAATAAAACCGGTTATGACAAAACCGGTGAAGCACTAAGGAAGAAGATAATGGCAAACCGGTCGGCGAGGAATAAAAGGCACCAACTTTTTTTGCCTTTGAATGGACCTACCATGATTCTCCTAATCATTCGTTTTTCTTTTAGATTATTTTTCATCTTGCAATGCTCAAAAAGTCCACTATTTTGTTGGAAGATGAAACAGAATGAGAGAGACAGAAGAAAGATGTTTCATTTCTGAAATCAAGAACCATCATCATTCATCACCAGACAAAGAATTGTTCAATTTGACAAAATCCATACCCTTTTGTCAAAAATCAAAAACACATGTGTTGTTGTCTCTCACTTGCTTCATCTTATGCCTCTGAGAAGATAGCTTTAAACCCATATGAGCGAATCTGGTTCTGTTTCTCTGGCTAATGATGATTCACGAGATTGAGATTCCTTAAAAGTTTTGATTTTTGTTCTTCTTTTTTATAGATTGCTTCATCTTCAATTTTCACTTTTCTTTTGTATTAAATAATTTCTTGTTCCGAGGGGTTTTCTTGTTTCTGACAAATAAAAACCTTTCCTTTTCTCTCTCTGCTGTGAACTAACATTAATCAATTATCTGTCTCTGAGTTTTTATGACAACTCAAGTTGTCTTCTTGTTGAGAGTTCTGCAATAATTATAATAATGATAAGTTTAGTGTTCTTTTTCCTTTGTTCCTAACTACCATTCTTTTACATTGGATACGTTGAGTTTGTTGTCTTTGTCTCCATTCCACTTCCACTTCCTCTTTGTTTGTCAGAAATTGGATCTCGTTCAAGTCATCTAAGAAAAAAAATGTTAATTTCAGCTGAAAAAGGAGAGATCTTGATCCCTCAATCTCCAGTTAGCTCAATGTCTGTTCCTGAATCTATTGAATCAGTTGTTCCTTTGGTCTATACTGATGTAAATGTTGTTCCTGAACATGAAAGGAATCAGCTTGAAAAGTCAATTTCAAACCTTGAAGGTATCTCTTGATTTTGCTTCTTCTCACAGTTATTTTTCCATTGGTATGTTTTCTATTTGATCAAGAGTTTTAAAAATGAATTTGAGCTCAAGTGTAAGTTGATTGGGTTGGTTTTTTTACAGGGGAAGTTTTGGAGTTGAAGTCAAAGCTAAAGTCATTGGAGGAAAAGAGAAGGGAAGTTCTGAATAAGATTATAGACACTAAAGGTTGTTAATTCTTTTAGTTTTGAAACTTGTTTATTTTTTGGGTTTAGTTTTGATTGTTATCTTAAGGATTGGCTTCAATTTGCAGGAAGTATACGTGTGTTTTGTAGAGTTAGGCCATTTCTATTGACGGAAAGGAGACCGATTAGGGAACCTGTTTCGTTTGGACCGGATAATATTGTTATAAGATCTGCTGGAAGTCGAAAGGAATTTGAGTTTGATAAGGTTTTTCATCAATCAGCAACTCAAGGTTAGTTTGCTGTTAGGCTTTAGTGATTCTTCTTATTTTGGTTTCTTAGCTTTCTGTTTCCTTCCAGTTGTGAGTAAATGAGGCATTCTCCTGGTTGAAAAAATAAAACTCTGTAGAAGACGTTTTCGGAGAAGTGAAACCGATTCTTAGATCTGCTCTTGATGGTCACAATGTATGTGTCTTGGCGTATGGTCAAACGGGGACTGGCAAGACTTTCACCATGGTTAGCCATTCTTGATACTCAGATTCTATTGAAAATTTTCATTAGGAGAGTTGCATTTCTTCTAAGCTACTTTTTCCCTTAGGATGGCACAAATGAGCAACCAGGTCTTGCTCCTAGAGCTATTAAAGAGCTTTTCAATGAAGCTTCAATGGATCCTACACATTCTGTGACTTTTAAAATGAGTATGTTGGAAATCTACATGGGTAACCTGAAAGATTTGTTGTCTGCAAGACAGTCTTTGAAGTCATATGAAGCCTCAGCTAAATGGTAAGTAACCAGCTTTCTTATCCAAAGGTTTATCTTTAAGACCACAAACATTCTTTTAAGTACTTCGTATTGTAGCAACCTTAATATTCAAGTAGACTTAAAGGGTTCGGTCGAAATTGAGGGTTTGACTGAAGTGGAAGTACCGGATTTTACAAAGGCTAGATGGTGGTACAACAAAGGGAGGCGAGTCAGATCAACTTCTTGGACAAATGTAAACGAAACTTCAAGCAGATCTCATTGGTAAGTTCTTGATGGTTCTAACTGTATTTGTCAATTCTCAAAACATCTGTTATTTCTCAGTTTGGTAGTTACCCTTATTCAATTAGTTTATCTCTAGTTTAACAAGGATCACAATCTTTCGTCGTGGGGATGCTGTGGGGTCAAAAACTGAAGTTAGCAAGCTTTGGATGATAGATCTTGGAGGAAGTGAGAGGCTCTTGAAAACTGGAGCTATAGGGCAAACTATGGATGAGGGAAGGGCCATAAACCTCTCACTGTCCGCTCTTGGAGACGTGATTGCAGCGTTAAGGAGAAAGAAGGGACATGTGCCTTACAGGCAAGCTCTCAGCTTTTATTTCCTTTTCACACACATATACCATTGAAGCAGAGACATCTATCTGGCAGAAGTGAAATAGATCTTGCTTTGGTCATGCTACTGAGTTTAGCTTTTTTCCTTTTTTGTTGCTTGCAGGAACAGCAAGCTAACTCAAATTCTTAAAGATTCTCTAGGTAAAGGCATATGGTTGCTTAAAATATTATCTTAAAAGTCTTTTGAGATTACCATATACTTAAGTTATCGAAGTTTGATTGTTTTTGTGAGTTTAATGGATTTGTGATTTAACTTTATTTAGGTACTAGATCAAAGGTTCTGATGCTTGTGCACATAAGTCCACGTGATGAAGATGTTGGTGAAACAATTTGCTCTCTGAGCTTTACTAAACGTGCGAGAGCCTTAGAGTCTAACAGAGGATTAACATCAGTAAGCACCTGTAATGCAGTATTTGCAATTCTATATTAATTCATTTCACTGATTGCTGAATGTTTTCATGATCATTGCTTAGGAACTCCAAAAGCTAAGAGAAAAGAAAATATCGGAACTTGAAGTGGAAATGCGAGAAACTCAAGACAACTGCAAGAAGATCAAAGCGCGGTTACTGGAAGCAGAGTGTCTGCTTAATGAAAACAAGAAACTCTTTTGGATCACCAATGATAAGCATCTAGAAGATATCGAAAAGAAAGTTCTTTCGCCTTTAGATCATCTACAAGAGACGGATGCAACCCCAAAATCATCTGATAAACTAGTCAAAATAAGCAAGAGTTCTGGTTTTGTCCCACGTTTCATGACTTCAACTGTTGCTAGTCGCCAAAGGCAAACAATGTCAGAGAAGGAAATCAATGCAAAGGCTCAGAGCATACGATCAATGGTTAAAAACCTTACTCAATTCTCCACTTCTCAATCGCTTAGCCTCTCTGACTCACGCAACAGAGTTCTCCTTAGAAGATCATACACAAAGCCGCTTCAAGCTACAGCTAACAGTGGAACAACACCAGAAACGCCTAAAAGACATATCAAGGATAATTCTTTACAGAGAAAGAATATGAATGATACTTCTTCACCAAGGAGCAAGATGGTTACTTCATCGGATCCAAATGTGAGAGCTAAACTGTGTCACCACAGACGAAGAATGTCAAGCTTGACATGATATAACAGTAATCAGTCAAGAAATCTTTCATCTTTCTTTTCCATCTCTTGTGAAAGTGCTGAGTATGAGCCTGAGTAGGATGAGGTTGAGGCGGCGTCCTCCAGTAGAGTAAGGACCATTTGAACCTGAGTAAGGCGATGGTCGACTCGCGATTTTAGGAGCATTTGAACTTGTGGATTTTGCAGTTCTGGTTTTAAAAGGACACAGCCCTCAAGTTACTTTTTTTTTGCTTACATCTGAGAGCATGCCTATATGTTTTGTTTGTGATTGTTTCTCAAAGTTTTCTTTGGGTTGGTGATAGTTTGATGTTGGATGTTTTTATGGGGTTCACAGAAACTGGATCATAATTAATAGTCCAGATTCTGTCTTCTTTGGAGGGTTCAGAGAGATGTGTGAAAAGGTTTGAGGGTTTTATTTTGTCATCGTTTGAAGTTCTTGATGGCACAATAGTGTTGTGGATTTTGGCTTCATTGTATCTTACTTTTTTTGTTTGTTTGTAACAACTCTTTCTATATACTACTAGATAAGGACCCGCACATCGTGCGGGTTTTAAACTTTTTATAAAAATTAATTTAACAAAACAATATATATATTCAAATTTTGTTGTAAGAGCATCCACAATGGGGTAAGTGTGAGTGTGGGTGTAAATTTTTTTTTATTATTATAATTTAAAGAGAGAGAAAAAAGAGAGAGAAAGAAAGAGAGAGAAAGAGAGAGAGTGTCTTACACCCGGGTGTAACTTACACCCGGGTGTGAAGAGAGAGACAACTTTTCTCTTATTTTCGATTACTTTAATGGTCACACCCGGGGAGAAAATGCGCCATTGCGCATGGCCTAAGCAGAAACTATCTTTCGAAAGTAAATAGATATTTTTTTAGTTAGAAAATGAGATATTTATATATTTGTTTTTTTAATATACTAAATTGCATTTCTATATTTTAAATTTATTGTAACACATATTACAATAATTTAAATTATCAATCACCAAAATTTTTGCCAAATATTCATCATAATTACTATTTCCAAATTTCAAAAATGTAGTCTCGCAATCTTGCTTAAAATATAATTCCATAACTTCTTCAAAAATTATTTGACATGCAAACTACCAGATAAGCAGTCATCTTATTACATCCATTTACAAATCTATTATCTACGTTATTACTAAAAATGTGTATTTATACCCAATCATTTTATACCCTGAAAGTATGATCTTTACCAAACACCACCTACAAAATATCTCAATGAAGACATTAAACTAACTATAAGTCTTATTACTTTCACTTTTGCATCGATTGTAGATGTAGGATTCACACTCGATTATCTTTAAGTATTTCAGTGGAGAAAAACTCTTAAAATCAACGAATGAATATGAGAATTCGAAAGGGAAATTAACCAAGAAAAGAATAAAGTAAAGAAATTTGATAAGAACGAAGTATGCAAAGCCTTGCGAAATTGTAAGAGAAAAAAGTATGTTGTATTGCTTAGTGGTAGTGAGTAAAAAGATTTGTCTCTCCCAAACACATGCGTTTGAGGCTGTTTTTATAGAGAAAACATGATTAATGCGGTCATTTACTGCTCATAATCGCATTGATCCGCATTAATCATGTAAGTTACAATTTGACCGAAACGGCTTGAATTTGAACTATCTTGGGCTTCGCATGGATCTTCCGAACTTTTTCTTGCTGACTCCGAACTCCCGCGTTTTGACGCTACTGCGAGCCTCGAACAATATTCTCCTCGCTTCGGCCTTTCTCTATGCGAACTGTCTGTCGAATAAGAGCGAACTCCATACTGGCAAAGATCGAGCTCTTCTACTAGACTGAATCGATCTTCCGACTGGTTAAGCTCGATACTTATAATAAAAATATCTTCAATTCCGAGAGGATTATTATGTAATAATGACGCGGACAGATCCAAGTGGATCCTACCGAGAATGTGTGGGATCCGACCCCAACATTTAGCCTCCCAAGTCTTGCGAGCTGAGTGCTCGGCTTGGAAGACTTAAGTAAATAGTAATTAATGAATCGAGATCTTTAACATTCTGGAATTTCTCCATGTTTTACGCTGTTACGCCGATCTCGGATAATCAAATGATTTCCCTGACAACCGTCATCATTAATTTTGTAATTTTATATTAATACTGCAGGGAAAACTGTCTCGCTTCCCAATATTCTCGAGGAGGTCTCCCATCATACTTTAGGGTTCTAAGAGGTAATATTACTTTTCCATCTTATCTTCTTTACCTAGAAAACTTTCATTCTTATTACAGAGGTCGTTGTTTCCTTTCGGTAAAAATCCCTTTCATAAAATGTCGAACCTCTCTTCTGAATTCGCGAATATGAGGCTCATGATCTCGAAGCTTTCATGGGTGAGGGAACCGAACCTTATACCCAAACTGGAGGCGGGTTTGATCTTCACCCTCAGAGTCAATCGACTGTTGATTCTCTTAACGATCTCCGTCGCTTATGCCACATTCCCCCCGAAGTGGAGATGGTGGTCCCGGAGCCTTACGAGTCTCCGGAATCGGGGCGAGAGGGTTATTGCTGCGCCTATGAAATTTATTTCAAAGGGTGCGGCTTGTTCCTCCCCCTTCTTGAGATACTTCTTATTTACCTCGACCATCTGGGAATCGCCTTCTCTCAGATGTCGCCCAACATGCTCCGGTATCTTATGTGTACCTTCACTATTGCGGCGGAGGCGGGCTACTCGCTGGGACTTAGCGAGCTCTTGGAATTCTTCCAGGCTCGTGAATCCAGAACTTTTGGGTATTATGCCCTTTATCCGATCGCAGATCGGAACCTTATTGATGGCCTGCCTTTAAAAGACAACGACTGGAGGAAATTTTGGTTCTTCTTCCGTATAAATAGTTTTTCGGTTCAGAGTTCTTCTGAACTCCTTCGAATTCACTGGTCATCGAATTTGGGTAGAAACTGAATAAGTTTCCCAGGCTATTTCGAACTGTGTTAATACTTTCTCGTTTTTCCGCAGGTCCCCAAATTCGGCCAGTTCCCTCTGTCAATTTTTTAAACTTTTACCAGGCCGTCCTGGAGAGGCCAGTTAATTGGAATTCTTTTACTTTGGAGAGAATTCACGGTGCCGGACATTCTGTCAGAATGGGCCTCACTCACCCCGTCGACCCTCCTCCTGCTGAGATTGATCTCTCTAGTCTGAATGCCCGAGATAGGAGAAAGATCAGAGAAGCAGACAAGAAAGTCAAAGATCAGATTTCCCAGATTGGAAGAAACAAGAAAAATGCATCTTCCGCCGGAGATGACAAAATCTACCGAAAAACTCTTTTAGTTGATGACGGGTCCCTTGAGGGCTCAAAGTTAATGGCGGTTGTCATAAACAATGCTCATCCCTCCACCCCAGCAGCAGACAACACGATCGCTGCTACTGCTGAAGAGGAAGGTCTTATAGGCGATTCTTCTTTCATGAAGAAGAAGAAGGCTGAGGAACTCGAACCCCCGCTCCAGGGACAACCCAAGAGCATAAGGAAGGACAAAATAAATCCTTCAAAACTACCAATTCCTGAATCTGCTGAAGCTCAGGATATAAACCCTGATTCAGGAATTGTTATAAGGGAACCGCTGAGTTAAGGGATGTTACCCCCTAGACGTCCCCGAGGTAATACCTCTAGAGTTCGATCGTCTCCGAGCTCAGGACTTGTTGCCAGAGCCTCATCTCAATCAGGTAACCTTCAATTAACATTTTGTTACTGGAGATTAACCGACCCTTTAGGAAGCTCAATACTCACAGAAATATCTCTATTTCAGATAAAGAGAAGATTGGAAACATCTAAAAGATGTTTCCACACTCGCTTTGGGAAGAAACTTCCGTCCTTTGGGCACTGGAGGGATGACATCAAGAAGATGTATATCAGTCATTCATTCCACTCCTCCCAGGTTTGACTGTTCGAATATGTAAACATCTAATTTTGTATCTCCCTTTTCTTATCACATCTCCTTTTATTAGGCAACCCTGGATGTGAACAGCATCATCAACCATTACGAAGAGGAGCTTACCAAAGTTTCTAAGAGAGCTGCTATTGCTGAAGGAGAGATTGAGAAACTCCAATCTTCCAATCAGCTTGTGAAGGAGACGATTGGTCTCGACTCGGCTCGTTAGAAAGAAATCGAGCGACTCGAAAGATCTGGCGAGGAGACAAGGAAGATTTTGACTAAGACAGAGCAAAAGCTAAAAACTGCCCTTGCTGATCATAACTTCGCAAAGGGCGAAATCGAGCTTCTGAGATCAGAGCTTAGCAAGGTCAAAACAGCTGCTGAGGAGCTCGAACGCAAAAATGAGTCTCTTTCCAAACTGAAAGATCGAGATATTCGCAACATATCTCATGATGCTCGGAAAGAAGTTAAAGGAGCTGGGCAAAAGTGTCTTCTTGCTGTGCATGAATTTATCACTGCGGATAAAGATTGGAACAAACTTAACTCCGAACGTGATGAGATGAAGAGCAATCTCGATCTGATCAAGGAGATAGAAGAAGGAACACAATTAATCTGGCTGAAGAAAAGGAGACAGTTGGCGCTGAGCTCGCTAAGACTGAAGCTAAGCTAGCTACTGCTCCTCAGCCATATTTAGATTTGCAGTAATTTGCTTCTGAGTTCGCTGATTCCCCTCCATTGATCGAACCTAATACCGGTTTGTCTTTGGACGAGATGATGTTAACTGGTTCTCTTCGTGCTCATTTTAATGAGTTCGGAACCAATGTTGACAAAATTTCTTTGGAACAAACTCAGGGGTTCTCTGGTCAGGATCCTGCCATTTCCTCGATTATGGAAGATGACATTGAACCGAGGAGCGAAATTCCTCAGGATGCTAGCTCGCTTAACCCTGAGGTGGTTCTCACAACTCAAGATGCTACCGTCGGGGGTGCTCCTGTCTCAAGCCAAGTAGGAGATGAAGGCGGCTCGCCTATGAATGAATGATGGTGATTGCACTCACTTTTATGGGGATTGTCCCTTTAATTTTAAGACATGAAATTCGCTTTGTTGGCCATGGGGCCGTTTATTTCTTTTCGAGTTTTTTGCCCAAGGGGGCTTTTATTACTGTTTTGAATAATTTGCCCAAGGGGGTTTTTAATTAAAATTTCTTTAGAAAGAAATATTTAATCTATGTGAAAACCATCGATTTTACCTGGAGGGTTTGCAAAGTCCTCCTAACCGAAATGGTTTAGAATTATAGGAGAGATAGGCTGATCAGACCTACTTGCCCTTTTTAAAGAAAAAACCTTAACAAGTATTTTTCCTCGGTCTCTCGGAAGCGAGGATGGAGCTCGGCTTAAGCTTTTTATCGAGGGATAAGATTTTTATAATTCATGAGAATTTTGCCATAAAAATGACCAGGCAATGGTTTCGATCATAGCCTAAAAATGGCTTTGAAAATGTTGGGCCACGTTTTAATTGGACCTGAAGTCTGCTCTAGCAGGCCCGTTATATATATATATATATGTATATATATATATATATTTTTTAAAGAGTCTGAACACCTTTCTCCTTTAAAAGAATTCTGAAAGACTCTCACAGTTTATTGTAAAAAAAAACTGAAATATGCCGCTATCTTCTTTCAGATCAAGCTCAAGAATAACAACTTCAAACGGGGATCCATTGTTTGAATCCGAAGACGGATTCTCTCCAAAGGGAGTCATTTACCCTACGTTTTTTCATTTCCGAACGGGGAAAGAAAGGGTCAAATGTTATGACTTCTTGGAAAAGGTTCCCTTTCTAATTTTTAGTCTTTTCAGAAGACTGTATATTCTCTTTCAGACAGTTGACAAAATGTTTGTTCAAACAGATCGTCAGGAGACATAAAGCTTTATGTGATAAGAGACAAAGAATCGGAAGGAGGCGTCGTGCTCTTGACGAGCTTATAAGGAAAATAGAAAGAGATATCCATCGCCTCAAATCTGAACCGCATGAGTGGGAGAGGAAGGGTTTAGATATCGTGGCTATCATTCCTTCTTGCCTTCGAAGATTCCTCTGCGCGCTGGACAAATTATCTCATCTATCCTTAGCAACCGGCGACAGATCCTCTTTCGTTTCATGTTCTTCAGAGTTTCAGAGATTTTCGATGTTAAAAACTGAGGAAAATGAAGAAACGGAGGCGAAATCAATCGATCATTCTTCCGGTCTCCTCGATTTATCTTCTGACGAAGGATTATCCTCAGAAAGCTGTTTGGGATCATCCACCTCGCTGGAATCGTTATCGAACGAAGACTTTTGATCGAACAATTCCTTTGATTTATTTTCATTTGTAACAATGCTATTGGGCTAGCGGCCCATCGACATTAATTATGTTTCCCCTTTTGCTTTAAATTTGTCGATTTATTTCAATCTTATTTAATGCGCTAATTTAGGGAATATAATTAGCAATTAACTCTATTAAATTTTGGGAAATCGTCAATTGACCCTCTTAAATGTGATTGAGTATATTTCGAATATAAAGTAGGTGTAGTTCATTATTGAGTTTTATCAACAGTAATTCTACAAAGATGTTCGAGGAAGGTAATTCTTCAGAGAACCCCCCCCCCTCGACTCATTCAAAACGATAAGCGATGATCTTCCGGAAACGTCAGACATCGAGATTGTAAAAACGGAAGCAACCGACGAACCAGAAGAGTCACGTCCATTAGGGTGGGGAACCAACATTCAGGTTCCGAACGTGTTAATCGAGAGATTATCATCTCAAGATCGTATCAAGGCTGAGGAGTTTATTGACAAGGTATTGTTTTACCTAGTGATTTGACTCCTTTTGTTGTTGTTTAAACGAAGCGTTTTATTTTCTTCAGCTTTTCACTCGGCACAACGAGCTCGAAGGTGAGAAAATTGAGATTAGGAAAAGAAGAATGGAACTAGATAAGCGTCATCTCGATATTTCTCGCGAGCTTCATCGCCTCGATGCCCATCCTTCCGATTGGATCGAGATAGGCCTCCAGGAGTACGGAACCATGCCGGGTTGCATTCTGAGAATCGTTGACCTCGCAGGCCAAGGAGCAGAGTTATTCCGTAATCCAAGACCCTTCTAGATCTGGTTTTTGTTTAGCTAAAATATTTCTTCATACATTGTTCGCAACGTATTTTTATATTTATGCTCGAAGATCAAGTTTATAAAAACAAGACTCCATGATTGGAATAATATTTTTATTTTTATAACTGGACTTGTGTTTAGCGAGCTGCCTACGTACCCAAAATAGAATCAAGCCAAATCGTAGTTCGAATATATATTTGTTTTAGCAATAGAACTTTTTCAAGTTGATGATGTTCCAAGGCCTTTGAACGGGATTACCGTCAAGGTCTTTTAAACGGTATACACTATTTCGGATTCTTTCTGTGATTTGATAAGGGCCTTCCCAGTTAATACCGAGTTTTCCAGCTCCTTCTTCTTTTGTGTTATCGAACACTCGCCTTAAAACAAAGTCTCCTACATTTAAAGGTTTGTTTTTCAACTTTGAGTTATAGTATCGAGCGGTCAACTGCTGATAGTTCTAAAGTCGAATAAGGGATTGGTCTCGCCTTTCATCAATTGTATCGAGAACGTCTTCTAATAACTTAGAATTTAGTTCTTCGTTAAGTGGAGCTTCGCTCCGGCGTAAACAAGGAACATTCAGCTCGGCTGGGACTACTGCTTCCATCCCATATACTAATGAGAATGGAGTTTCTCCCGTTGCTCGTCTCGGGGTTGTTCGATATGCCCACAACACAGGTTGCAGCTCGTCATACCAACCACCTTTTCGAGCATTCAAACGTTTTTTAAGATTGCTGAGAATGGTTTTATTGGAAGCTTCCGCTTGCCCATTTCCTTGAGGATACCTCGGCGTTGAATAGCTAAGTTTTATCCCCCAAGAGGAACAAAAATCTTCAAAATCATTTGAAATGAACTGTGGACCATTGTCCGTTACAATTTTGTAAGGAACTCCATGGAGACAAATAATATGTTTCCACAAGAATGTCTTTACCACAGAATCTTGTATGTTTACGTAAGCTTCAGCTTCAATCCATTTGGAAAAATAGTCCGTTAGAACTAATAAATATTGGACGCCTTGCGTTGAGCGATGCATCGGACACCCTATATCCATTGACCATCTCATGAAAGGGTATGGAGCGGATATTGATGACAATAATTCAGATGGCTGGTGAATAAAAGGAGCGTGCATCTGTCATTTTTTACACCGTTTGGCGTAATCGATGCAGTCAGAAATCATAGTTGGCCAGAAATATCCTAACCGTTTGATTTTAAAAGTCATTGCTCGTCCCGAAGAATGACTACCGCAAAGCCCTTCGTGGACCTCGCTTGTCACTATTTCAACTTCGGGCCCGAAAATACATAAAAGATAAGGATCACTGACACCTCGCTTGTACAATGACTCTTTAATTATACAATACTTAGCGCTGATAATTCTTAATTTGCGAGCTTGCCATTTGTTCGATGGTAGTTCTCCATTAAGAATGAAATTTTTGATGGGTACCCTCCAGTCAGCCCCCCAATCATTAGCGGAAGTATTATCCTTGAGTATAAACTTCTTTGGTTCCGGCTCGGAAGGAATATCAGGATCATTTTTGACTGTTACCAGAACTTCTTCATTATTTGCGGTTTTTGGAAGTGACTGTTCAGCTCTAGATGGTTCTTTAATGGGAACCTCTTGATCTTTTAGTTTTCTTCTCGGCTTTCTTTTAGGAAGTTCCGGTTGTGGAGTAAGTTCGTCATCTTGAGACTTTGCTCGTGATCTAGTGACAACAAACGAACTGTTCTTGTTGTCGGAATTTTATTCTGGAGTTTCGATATGCTCGACCTCCAAAATATTATCGTTTCCTGTTCCTTCATCTGAAATACTTCGTGAAGTAATACATTTCAACTGGAATAACTCGCTTGAGTTTGGGATCTGAGATAGAAGCTAGGGCAGCTAAAGCGTCTGCCGAAGTGTTCTCGCCTCGAGGTATTCTAACTAATTCGAATATTTTGAATTTTCCAGCTAACTTTTTGACGGCCGAAAGGTAGGCTTCCATTCGAGGTGCCTTAGCTTCGTAATCTTCCGTGAACTAGTTCACAACTAGCTGAGAATCACAATAAGCTATTATTTTTTCTGCTCCAATTGCAAGAGCAAGTCGAAGTCCTGCTAAGAGACTTCATTGTTCGAAGCCGGGAACATTAATCGAAATGATTGTTCGATTATTTCCTTTGTCGGAGTTTCGAGCCTAATACCGATTCCGGATCCTTGTTTAGAAGAAGAGCCATCTACATGTAATTTCCATGTAGAGTCTGTTTCAATAAAGGTTCCATCATCTAATGGTAGTTCGGTTAGAAAATCAGCCAGAACTTGTGCTTTTGCACTAGTTCGACTTTTATATTCTATATCGTACTCACTGAGTTCGATAACCCATTTCGCCAATCTACCGGACTGACTTGGTCCGTGAAGAATTGAGCGAAGTGGATGAGAAGTTAAAACTTCTATCGGATGAAACTGGAAATAAGGTCTTAGTTTTCTAGCAGATATGACTACTGCTAAAGCTAATTTTTCCATCATGGTATATCTCGATTCTGGACTGGTAAGAGATTTACTT